ACAAGCTTCCGCTTCCCTGGTTAAATTTATTCTTAGTTAATTTATTCTTTTAGATGTTATTGTAAACCGAATTGTTGTCTTAATTTCCTTTCAGATTGTTTATTGCTGGAGTATAGAAACACAACTGATTTTTGTGCATTAATCTTGTACCCTGCAACTTTGCTGAATTCATTTGTTATCTCTTGTAGCTCTCTTGTGAATACTTTGCCTAGACCCCTCCTTTGACTCCAGCCCCTCCTTTATCCATAGGCGACTTCTTCACCTCTAGACCCCTCCTCTGACCTCAGAACGCTCCCTAGACCCCCAACACTTCTCAGACTTCTCCTTCACCTGCAATACCTTCAGGAACCCCTGCACAGTCAGCATAGGACAGTGATTCTCAAACGTGGGTGTGTGTTAGGATTGCTTGCAAAATCACTTGAAAAAGCAGATTCATGAGATTCCACTCCGGAGATCATGATTCAGTAGGCTTATTTGGGGTCCCTGAACCTGAATTTTTAACATCATTATAAGAGTTTTTGATGTGGTTCTTGTTAAAGAAGTAGTGGTCCTGGTGGTAGAGTCGAGGGTCTCTGTAGCCTAGGTATCTGAGTTCTATTTCCAGTGCTACCACTTAAAAACTGTGTGATTTTGGACAAGATGCTAAATCTGAGTATCAGTTTCCTCATCTGTAAAAGTGGAGAGAATAATAGTATCCATCTCAGAGGGTTATTGTGAGGATTAAATAAAATAATACATTGGAAGAGTGTAGTGTAGGGTTTGGCACCTAATCGATAAATGCAATAATAATAATAATAATTAGTATAATTATTATCCCTACCTTAATCTCATGAAGTCTCATCCCATCCATTCTGAAGAATTCCAACACTATAGCTTGTACTACTTCTCTATCTCCAAGGGAAGAACGTTCCCTCTTTTATGAAGCCACTGGTCCAAACTTCACTGAGCAGTTCACAGGTAGAGCGAGGAGGCTAATCAAGCCCCTGGGCAAAGTCCTTCTCTCCCTTCCCAATCCAGACTCCTGACAGGAAGACAGCTGCTTCAAAATCTATGGATGCACCCACTGCAGTGCCATCTGTAGACAGGAGGGGGTAGCAGAGGGTCAGGAGAAAGATCGGGAAGCGGCACTAGGGAGAGGGCAGCTCAGAGCTCTGTGTAGGGTTTGTGTGTGTGTGTGTGGTGGGGGTGATGACCATCTGTAGGTAGGAATATGTGCTATTGCATGTGCCTTCCTCCCTACAGTGAGGTTCTTATCTCCTCAGTGAAGCCCATGAGGCCTGTTAACTCTTCAATGAGATCTGATTCTCCCAGTGGGACCTGTCCCCCTAAATGAAGTCTGTGCCCCTCTGTGGAGTCCATTTTATCAGTGTAGCCAGAGGTCTCCCAGTGGGGTTTGGGTCTTCTCAATGGGACCCATGTCTCCTTAGTAAAGTATGTATGCATCCTCTGTATCTTCTAGGGAAAGTTCATGTTCCTTCAGTGGGGTCAGTGTATTGTAATGCCATTCATGCCCTATTATCAGGGCACACGACCCTTCAGTGGGATCTGAGACCCCCCTCGGCAAGATTTGTACTCCCTTAGTCGGGTTCACATACTGTCAGTGAAGTTTGTGCTCCTTCAGTGAGATAGATGTTTCCTTGATTATGTATCTGTCCCCACAGTGGGGTCCATGCCTACTCTGTGAGCTCTGTACCCCTTCAGCGGGCCCTGAAAACCCCCTCAGGATTGAGTAGGCTTTGACCATGGGAAGTTTTTTTGTTTCACGGCTTACAGTGTACTGGGCTTATAGTCAGCTGAGTGAAAGACATGGCACAAGTGGGAAAGGAGGCTGGGCTAGATGGGGTCACAAGCCCTTTGCAGACTTCAGGAAGTAGAAGCTGCCTTCCTGGCCTCAGAATCACTCTTAGAGTTAGGTACTCAAGGATCCCTCCTGCCTTGACAGGCAGTCTGTGGATGGGGTGGGGCATTCTTTTTTTTTTTTTTAATTGTTGTAGTTAAAGTGAAAGTTTACAGTTCAAGTCAGTCTCTCATACAAAAATTTATACATGCACTGTTGTGTGACACTAGCTGCTCTCCCTATACTGTGACAGCACACTCCTCCTTTCCACCCCTGATTTCCCGTATCCATTCAACCAGCTCCTAACCCTGTTCGCCTTCTCATCTCACCTCCGGACAGAAGCTGCCGGTTTAGTCTCTTGTATTTACTTGAGCTAAGAAGCACACTCTGCAAGAGTATCATTTTATGTCCCACAGTCCAGTCCAGTCTTTCTCTGAAGAGTTGACCTTGGGAATTGTTTTAGATATGGGTTAACAGAGAGTCCAGGCGCCATGCTTTCTGAGGTTCCTCCTGTCTCAGTCAGACCATTAAGTCTGGTCTTCTTACTAGAATTTGAGTTCTGCACCCCACCTTTCTCCTGCTCCATCCGAGACTCTCTGTTGCGTTCCCTGTCAAGGCAGTCATTGGTGGTAGCCAGGCACCATCTAGTTCTTCTGGTCTCAGGCTGATGAAGTCTCTGGTTTATGTGGCCCTTTCTGTCTCTTGGGCTAATACTTTCCTTGTGTCTTTGGTGTCCTTCATTCTCCTTTACTCCAGGTGGTTGGGACCAATTGATGCATCTTAGATGGCCACTTGCTAGCTTTTAAGACCCCAGATGCCACTCACCAAAGTAGGATACAGAACATTTTCTTAATAAACTTTGTTATGTCAATTGATCTAGATGTCCCATGAAAGCATGGTCCGCAGACCCCTACCACTGCTACTCTGTCCCTCAAAGTGTTTGATTGTATTCAGGAAACTTCTTAGCTTTGGCTTAGTCCTGTTGTGCCGACTTCCCTTGTAGTATATGTTGTCCTTCCCTTCACTTAAGATAATTCTTGTCTACTATCTAGTTAGTGGATAACCCTCACCCTCCCTCCCCACCCTCATAACCATCAAAGAATGTTTTCCTCTGTATTTAAACCTTTTCTTGAGTTCTTACAATAGTGGTCGTATACAACATTTGTCCTTCCGTGACTGACTAAATTCACTCAGCATAATGCTTTCCAGATTCCTCTATGTTATGTTTCACGGCTTCATCGTTGTTCTTTATCATTGTGTAGTATTCCATTGTGTGAATATACCATAATTTGTTTATCCATTCGTCCGTTGATGGGCACCTAGGTTGTTTCCATCTTTTTGCTATCATGAGCAGGATTGCTGGATCTATTTCTAGCTTTTTAAGGAAGTGCCAAATTGATTTCCGAAGTGGTTGTACCATTTTACATTCAGGGTGTGGCATTCTTGATAGTGAGTGCAGGTGGGAGATGGAGGGTCCTGCCCGCTGTCACCTTTCTGGGGTGGAGGGGATCGAGGGAAGCCAGAACCCAGGTTGTGGCAGGTGGTGGTGGGGGGAATTGGTGAAGTAAAGTGATTGGGAACAAGGGAATGTGAAAAATCCCTCTTATTTGCATAGATTTTGGTATTTTATAAGCTTTAGCTTCAGCCTGATAAAGCAGCAGAAACAGAACTGGAGTCAGAGGACCTAAGCCTGGCCCTAACTGGGTCAGTTATTTGCTGTATGATCTTGTGCAGTTTCCTTCCCTTCTCTGGGTTTACCATTTGTGGGTTTATTGGCAAAGACTTAAAGGGGCCTCCTAAACCAAAAAAAACCAAACTGGTTGCTGTGGAGTCGATTCTGACCCATAGTGACCCTATAGGACAGGGTAGAACTACCCCATAGAGTTTCCAAGGAACACCTGGTGGATTTGAACTGCTGACCATTTGGTTAGCAGCTGTAGCACTTGACCACTATGCTACCAGGGCCTCCTCCTAGTCTTCACTTAATAAGCCTGTACTTTAGACCTGGAAGGAGATTTGTGGAGGCAAGGATAGTGAAAACATATCCTCAGGGGTAGGAGAAAATCTGAGCTGGCCCCTGGCAGAGGCTATCTAAGGAAAATAGCGCCTATGGCAAGCACTGAAATTGTGTCCCTGCAGGCCTGTAGCAAGGGTAAGGAGCCCCAGGAGCAACCTCACAATTGCGCCCCCCCCGGTTTCAAGAAGAGTAGACGTTGATTGCAGCAACGTGTCAGCAGAAACACCTTCCCCTCTTTTTTCATCCCCGGCTGCCTCAGTCGGGCACCTTTCATATTTGTGGCTACTCAGAATGTCATTCCAGGCCTTATCTGGCGCCCCCTTGAACTTGCACGGGGGAGGGGTGCAAGTACCCCTTCTGCCACCTCCCAGCCCGAGTCTACCGTGCTTAAGGAAGGACATTGGTCCATACCGGGTTAATAGAAACTGCTCAGTGACGCCCCCTCCCCTCTTCAAGTGGCGCCCAGCGCATTGCCATACCTGCCATGCCTTAGATATGCCTCTGCTGAGCAGAAACGGGTTCTCCTCCCCCCCCTCCCGCCCCTTAGTGGAGGACCTTGCCCTTAAGGTAGTAGGAGGAATTTTTCCAGAGGAGAGTGGGAGAGAGAAGGTTGTACTCACAGAAGGGGAATAATTTACAGGAGGAAGAGTGTCCCCGGGAAGGGACCTTCCTCCACCTGGCTTTCCAACTCGGTGGGGTGACTGATTTGTGTAATCAGAGCATAGGCCTTACCGAACTTCTCCCGTTAGCCTTGCCATTTCCTGCTGGAGCACCGCCCAACCTTAGCTCAACATCTCATCTGTCACTCCAAGACCCCACCTCACCCTGGTCACTCCATGGCCCAGCCTCCTCTCCTGTTATAGTCTGTCCCGCCACTCCCTGTCACTCCATGGGCCCACCTCCTCTCCTGTCACGCCTAGCTCCGCCCCTCCTCTGTCACTCCAAGATTCTACAATTTCTCCTGTCACGTCCAGCCCCGCCCCTTCTGCTTTCACTCTACGGCCCCACCTCTTCCGGCTATTCAACTCCGCTCTTATCCCCAAGTAGTTCTTAGCTTTTCCCTATCCCTGTCCTTGCTAAGCCTGCTCCCGCTCCGACTACGCAGGCTCCGCCCCTCATACTCCCGCCCACCTACCCTGTCTGCCTAAGCCCCGCCCCTCCCTTAAAGCCCCGCCTCTAGGCCGGCCTATTTTCCTCTCCTCCGCTCTGGCGGCGACCGCAAAGGCTGCCACCGAGCTCTGAACTGGACGCGATGGGGCTTCCTGAGGAGCGGGGCCGAAGCGGCAACGGGAGCGAGGGCCGGGAGGAGGCTGGAGCCGGGAGCCAGGCACGGAGTTGGGCTCCGCCGCCCGAAGTCAGCCGATCCGCGCACGTTTCCTCGCTGCAGCGCTACCGCGAGCTGCACCGGCGCTCTGTGGAAGAGCCTCGGGGTGAGGCTGGGCCCGGGAGGGCCTGGGGGAAGTCGATGAGGGGAAGATTCCCTGGGGACTGAGAAATTGGGGACGTTCCGTGGGAAATGGGGGTTCCATGAGGAAATGGGGTTCTGTGAGGAGATGGGGTTCCGTGAGGAAATGGGGGTTCTCTGTGAGTTCTTTGGGGAATTGAGAGGTCTGTGAGAAGTGGGTTCTACGAGGAGATGAGGCTTCCCTGGGAGTTAGGGAGTTCCCTGGTGAGTTGGGGGATTCCTGAGAGGTGGGTTTCCCTGAGGAAGTGGGGGTTCTGTGCAGACAAGTGCAAACTATTTGCGCCACCCAGGGACCTTAAGCGGATTTAAAAACCTGACCGATTCCTTTTCTTCATCTATAAGATAGGAATAGTAATACCTGCTCATAGGTTTGTATGAGAACTAAAATGGGTAATATGTGCGCATTATAAAGTGCCTGTGCACAGGCAGCATTCAATAAATGATGGTTAGTTTGATAGTAAGAATAACATGGATGTAGCAGTTATGGACTATTGTGGTTGACTGCTGTAGGCAGTGTCCAAGTTTGAGTCCTCAGGCCTCTTTTCACTCACTACTTTTCCCTCTCTATATTTTCTCCCATCATGAGTTCACCTGTTCTCCAGGCATGAGCTATTGCTGCCACAATAATAATTCCCTGTTCTAGTCCTGTACCTGGAATCTTGCTTATACTCTGATCCTAAATTTCATAGACCTGTAGACTGTTTCTGTTCACATACTTTGAAGTTATGTCATATTCAACATGACTATAACTGGGCTTTACCACCTTTTCCTCCCAAACCTGCTCTGTCCTTGATTTTCTAATTCCTGTCAATGGCACTCTCCCAAATTGTAAATCTGTGTCATCATCCTCTCCTGTAATAAGATCTGTTATTTACAGATTGCTTACTTATTTTTTTTTTCAGAGCAGTAAATTTTTATTTAATTGTCACTGAGTCTGCATATGGGAATTTGTTGTTAGGTGCCATCAAGTTGGTTCCAACTCCTAGTGACCCTATGTACAATAGAACTAAACCCTGCCGGGTCATGAGTGGTCCTCACAATTGTTGCTATGTTTGAGCTCATTGTTGCAGCCACTGTGTCAATCCATCTTGTCGAGGGTCTTCCTCTTCTTTTGCTGACCCTCTGCTTTACCAAGTATGACGTTCTTCTCCAAGGGCTGGTCTCTCCTGATAACATGTCCAGCTCACAAGTAAGTGAGACGAAGTCTCACCATCCTCACTTCTAAGCAGCATTCTGGTTGTACCTCTTCCAAGACAGATTTGTTTGTTCTTCTGGTAGTCCATGGTATAGTCAGTATTTTCCAACACCATAATTCAAAGGCATCAATTCTTCTTTGGTCTTCCTTATTCATTGTCCAGCTTTCGCATGAATATGAGGCTATTAAAAATATCATGGCTTGAGTCAGGCGCACGTTAGTCCTCAAGGTGACATCTTTGCTTTTTAACACTTTAAAGAGGTCTTTTGCATCAGGTTTGCCGAATACAATATGTTGTTTGATTTCTTGACTGCTGCTTCTGTGGGCATCGATTGTGGATCCCAGTAAAATAAAATCTTACTTGGAATGTAGCCTGGTGTGAAAAGAATCTGTTCATCACATTGTCACCTCAGTCAATTTATTCCAGTTGGTAGCACCACATGCAATTGACTTTTAACTTAAAATAGGATTCGAGGCTGTTGCTTTAAATGACTTAAAAAAGATAGACTTTGATGCAGCACTGAATGAAAAGTTATTCTGCACTCAAAAGAACAAAGAAATAGACCTTTGGAGTGTAAAAGCAAACACTTGGTGGAAAAAGGACTCACTTTCGTTAACTTTTTGTAAGATTGCTTACTAAGCACAAATCCTGTATGATTTGATATAGGGTCTGTTATCATCCCCAATTTACAGAAAAGGAAACTGAAGCTTAGCAAGGTTAAATAAATTTTACGAGGTCACAAAACTAGTTAGTGGTGGAGCTAGGATTTGAACCAACACAGTCTTGACTCCAGAACATGTATTCCTAATGCCTAGACTATTCCTCTTCCCTGGTCTACTTAAAACACTCCTTCAAAAAGCCCCTGCGATTTACCTTTTCTTCCACTCCCACAGACCTTTTTAAATCAAGGAAGCAGCCTCCTAATTTGATTTCTCTTCCCTGGTCTCACTCACCTTCAATCTATTAAATAAATCTAGATAAATTTAGATTTATCTAAGCACCATTAGGGAGCCCTGGTGGTGCAGTGGTTAAGAGCTATGGAGAGCTATGGCTGCTAACCAAAAAGTCGGCAGTTTGAATCTACCAACCACTCCTTGGAAACCCTAGGGGCCAGTTTTACCCTGACTTATAGGGTCACTATGAGTCGGAATTGACAGAATGGCAACAGATTTGCTTTTGGTTTTAAAACCCTGTTAGACTGATACTCTGGAAACACTGCTTTCATAAATCACTTCAAAATAGTTCGCTATTGCCAACAGTTTAAAATCCTGCCTTTTTTTTTTTAAGGCCTCTGCATAATCAGCGCTACCCTACCTCACCGTTCTTATCTCCCAGTACTCCCTACCACACTCCTCATTCTAGGCAGGTTACTCTCACTGATATACTGGATATACAAAAGTCCCTTTCCCACCTCCTTGCCTTTGCCTATTCCCTCCTACTCCTCCGTTGTTTGTTGTTATTGTTAGATGCCATCGAGTCGATTCCAACTCATAGCAAACCCATGTACAACAGAACGAAACACTGCCTGGTCCTGCACCATCCTCACAGTCGTTGCTGTATCTGAGCCCATTGTTGCAGCCACTCTGTCAGGCCATCTCGTTGAGGGTCTTCCTCTCTTTTGCTGACCCTCTACCAAGCATAATGTCCTTCTCCAGGGACTGGTCCCTCCTGATAACGTGTCCAAAGTACGTGAGACGAAGTCTTGCCATCCTCGCTTCTAAGGAGCATTCTGGCTGCTCCTCTACCTAGACAAATCTCACTATTTCCACAGAGCGTTCCTTGATCATCCCAGTCCATGCTTTCTCTCCTCTTCTGAATTTCTTTAGAATTTAGAATCTGTGCCAACAAACCTTCTAGATTTCCATGCCTTCACACACACAAAAATAATCTAAGTGAACACAAAACTCAATTTTCCTCATTCTTTGTTGATGGACATAAATGTGGTTCATAAATAGTTTTACATAGCATATACCTACTATTACCATTTAAAAATATTTTGAGTATACACATGTATTCAATGTAGTCATAACAGCATGAACTTTAGAGTCAGATCTGACTTTATATTCTGGTTACTAGCTATGTGGTCCTTAAGAAAGTTTTATATGCTTCCTGAGCTTCAGTTTTCTCATCTATAAAATTAGGATAATTAATATATACTTCATCCAGCCATAATGTCATAAAGATTAAATGAGTATTATCTCAGTCTCTGATACATGAATGGCATTCACTAAAGCCAGTTCCCATTTGCTTTCTCTTTAATGGCTATGTAGTTTTGTATTACTAGTTTTCATCAGTTTTTTTTTTATTGTTGGGTTTTGGGTTGCTTTGAGTTTCACTATTATAAATAGTACTGCTATAAACATCTCTATACTAACCACTTTTTTGTTTGGGATTGTTTTCTTGGAGTGTATTCCCCAAAATTGAGCTAGCAGATACAAGGGTATAAAAAGTTTTATAGCTCTTGTCAGGCATTGCCCTGCTATCAAGTAGGATTGTACCGATTTCTTACAATGACATTATTGTATAAGAATATCTGTTTCCCCAGGGCCACTCAGGCGTTAGGTTTATTTTCTTATCTGTACTAGTTTTACAGATTTATAATGGCACCTTGGGGTTGATTTAATTTGGATTTGTTTAATTCATTGCAAGGTTGTATACTATGTGATTTAACTTTCAATTATATTCTGTCTGATACATTAAAAATATTTCATGTGTTAATCTTATCTCTCCAACTAGATTGTATAAACTCTAAATTACTGTGTAAGTTTTCTTTCTCACACAAGTTCCGGTTTTTGCAGGTTTTACTGAATATGCTAGGCATTGTGCTAGGCACTAGGTGTCTAGGGCTTGAATGATGATCAAAAGATGGTGTCTTAGTTATCTAGTGCTGCTGTAACAGAAATACTGTAAGTGGATGGCTTTAAAAGACAGAAATATGTTTTCTTACAGTTTAGGAGGCTATGTGACCTTGAACAGGTCACTTGCCCCTAGGAATTTGGTTTCTTATCTATAAAATGAGGGGTGATAATCTCTAAGAGTCCTTCCATTGTTAAGGTTCTAAGTGTCTCTCACCCCTCTAGCTCCTGATCCAGTATTGAGAATATCCTAAATTCTCTGCAGTTGTTTGTTTTATCCACTGAGTACATTTTCTCCTGAGTAGCCAGGCAGATCTTTTGACAATATAAGTCTGATCATGTCATTTTCTTCCTTAAAATCATTCAATGGCTTCTCATTGCTCTTAGGATAAATACCAAATTCCTTATCATGCCCAGAAGGACTGCATAATCTGTCCAGTTTATGCTTGAATCCCTGCCATTCTTTCCTTTATTCTGAGTGCTTCATCTTCAGAGGAGTTCTTCTTAACATATACCCTCGATTCCCTTGCAACCCATAGGACTCTCTTTTCTGATGAGGAGTAGAGAAAAACTCCTACTCATCTTTCAGATTTTACCAAAAACGTCTCTTCCTCAGGGAAGTTCAAATCTTGACTTCGTAACTGGAAACTTGGACAAGTTATTTAACCTCTCTGAGCCTTTTTTTCCAAATCAATACAATAAGGATGAAAATAATGCCTACTTCATAAGGTTGTGGTGAGGGCTAAATGAGACAATATATGTGAAGTGTTTAACGCAACATCTGGCAAATAGCAAGTAACACTTGAACAAGTAGTAGGAGGAGGAGAAGAAGGAGATGTTCAATAAATAATTTTTGAAAATGAATGAACAATTTAAGAGAAGAGATGGTCATGAAAGGCTCTGTGGGTAAAGGATTTATTCTTTTCACTAGTTAATAACTGATTGCCTACTACAGTGAAACCTCTGAGAGCTGGAACTTGACGAAACTGCCTTGTTTTTCCAGGTCTCACAAGTTTTCGGCCTTTGATGGGGTGCAGTCTTACCACTTTTCTATCATTCTCTATTTGTGGAAAATATTTGAGTTTTCCATTTCTGACAGGTTTCTGCCTTACACAGGTTTTGGCTTTCACAGATTTTATTGTATGTACTAGGCATTGTGCTAGGCACTAGGTGTCTAGGGTTTTAATAGATGGTGAAAAGATGGTGTCTTAGTTATCCTAGTGCTGCTGTAAGAGAAATACCATAAGTGTGTGGCTTGAACAAACAGAAATTTAGTTTTTCACAGTTTAGGAGGCTAAAGTCCAAATTCAAGGTGCCAGCTCTAGGTGAAGGCTCTCTCTCTCTGTTGGCTCTGGAGGAATGTCCTTGTCTCTTTGAACTTCTGCTCCTGGGTGATCTTCATGCGGCATGGCATCTCTCTTCCCCTGTCTTTGCTTCTCTTGCTTGCTTGTTTAATGTCTTTTATATCTCAGAAGAGATTGATTTAAGACACTTCCCACACTAATCCCATCTCATTAACATAACAAAGACAACCCATTCCCCAATGGGATTATAACCACAGGCATAGAGGTTAGAATTTGCAACACATATTTTTGGGAGCACAATTCAATCCATCATAGATGGAGTGGCAGTTTTGCAGAGAGAAGTAAGAAATTTCAGCCAAGATTCAGCTCATGAGAATAAAAGATGGGTTAGCTGAATGGTGGGTGAAAAGATTAGACAGGTAGAGGGACCTCGGTGGTGTGTCCTAGAGTACAAGGCAGAGAATTTGTGTACTTGGTTCTGTTCATAGACTAGACAGCCATCTGAGGATAATTATTCCTGAGACGCTTAGTGATGTCTGGGCTTCCCTTTCTGTTGCAGAGTTTTGGGGAGGCATTGCCAAGGAATTTTACTGGAAGACTCCATGCCCTGGTCCATTCCTTCAGTACAACTTTGATGTGACTAAAGGGAAAATCTTCATTGAGTGGATGAAAGGAGCAACTACCAACATTTGCTACAACGTACTGGACCGAAATGTCCACGAGAAAAAACTTGGAGATAAAGTTGCTTTTTACTGGTAAAAATATCAGTCTTATAGTATGTGACAGATAAAACCAGACACCCTTCATGTTTCTATAGTGCTTCATGGTTCACAAAATACTTTAAAATCTATTAACTCACATTTACAGTAACCAAGTAGAGTAAGCAAAATATCATTAATTTAATGTCTCAGATGAGGAAAAACATCTCAAGAAAGTTAAGTGACTTCCCCAAAGTCATGTAGCTAGTACGTGACAGGGCTGACATTCAGAGCCAAGTGTCCTGACGTCTGTCTAGTGTTCTTGGTTTGTGGTTGGAGGAAAAGGAGTGGAGAGGGTAAATGGAAGAGAAGAGGATTGAGTAACTCTGTTTCTCATTCTTGCTTTGGGAGGAAAATGGGTTTTCAGTTTCTCACCACCACCACTATCACCATCATCATCATTACCTTTTATTGAGCTATGTGCCAGACACTATGCTAAGTTCTTAACAAAGATTATCTGATTTGATGCTCACAACCAACAAAGCACTATTTATTTTCCACATTTTACATATGTGAAAACTGAAATTCTGAGAAAATAAGTGACTTATCCGATGTCCTAGAGATAGCAAGAAGCAGGGATGAGTTTCAAACCCAAGAGCTTACACTCTTAACGACAGCACTATACTACCCCTCTAATTCTTTACCTTAGCTTCCCAACAGCCTTGCAAAATAGGTATTCTTAGCTCCATTTTACAGATGAAGAAATGAAGCACAGGAGTATGTAGTGAGTAAGATCATAGAATGAGTAAGTGATAGAGCCAGGATTCAAGCCCAAGTTTGTCTGACTCCTAAGCCCTTGGTTGTACCTTCTCTAGACAGATCAAATCCTAGCTTTCCCTGATTATCCTAGTCCATGCTTATCTACTACCTCTCCAGTAGGAACTTTCTAAGATTCCTTAGCTACATAGCTCTCTAGGAGCTATTACTGTACTGAACCCAAATAGGACTTTTAAATGCCAGTAATTGGGGAGTTACTTCTGCCACCACCCATGAGCACTCTGGGACTACATCTATTGTTTAACATTTCCAATAGGAACCAGTTTGGATACTTCATGGAACAGTTAAGTTGGTACTCAGTCAAAATTTGCCCAGTTTGTGTAATATATTGAGAAGACCCCTGTCTTAGTCATCTAGTGCTGCTATTACAGAAATACCACAAGTGGATGGCTTTAACAAAGGGAAGTTTATTCTCTCATAGTCCAGGAGGCTGTAAGTCCTAATTCAGGGCGCCGGCTCCGGGGGAAGGCTTTCTCTGTCTGTCAGCTCTGGAGGAGTGTCCTTGTGATGCATCAGTCTTCCTTTGGTCTGGGAGCATCTCAGTGCAGAACCTCAGGTCCAGAGCATGCGCTCTGCTCCCGGCACTGCTTTCTTGGTGGTATGAAGTCCCCCACTCTCTGCTGCTTCCCTTTCTTTTTATCTCTTGTAAGATAAAAGGTGGTACAGGCCACACCCCAGGGAAACTCCCTTTATAGTGGATCAGGGATGTGACCTTAGTAAGGGTGTTGCAATCCCACTGTAATCCTCTTTAACATAAAATTACAATCACAAAATGGAGGACAACCACACAATACTGGGAATCATGGCCCAGCCAAATTGATACACACATTTTTGGGGGAACATAATTCAATCCATGACAAACCTTAACCTGAGAAACAGAACATTTAAGTTCTCATTCTAACTCTGCCATTAACTTTCCTGTCATTAAAAAAAAAGTCATTTAACTTCTGGAGAGTCAGTTTCCTCTTCCATGAAATGGGGAAAATAACTCCACCTTTGTCTTTCTCACTAGAGAATCAAATGAAATGTTGTCAAAGCATTTTGTTTATTGGAAAGCACTGTACAGTTGTGAGTGGTTCATTATCACATTGCCTTTTTTCAATTGGGGGTCACTTTGACACTGCAACTCACTATCCATTATGTTTGTTGAGACTCTCTTTAGCTCCTGCTCTGGGGCTTTGTGCTTGAGTTCCAGCCTAGACTTGAGTCCACCTCCTAGGCTCCTTCAAAACCGAAAAACCAAACCCGCTGCCATCAAGTCAATTCCAACTCATAGCGACACTAAAGGACAGAGTAGGACTGCCCCATAGTGTTTCCAAGGCTGTAAATCCTTAAAGAAGCACACTACCACATCTTTCTCCTGTGGAGCGGCTGGTGGGTTCCAACTGCTGACCTTTCAGTTAACAGATGAGCCCTTAACCACTGCATCACCAGAATTCCTCCTAGGCTCCTTAGAGGTCAGAAAACCTTTAAAGATCTGCAAAGGAGATGCTTGTGTCTGAATTTGTTCCCTGGGTTGAAAGAACTCAGGTACCCTGATGAAAGACTGAGATAACACAAGTCAGAGTTGTTTGATCAATGGAGATTGCTCCAGAATCCTGAAGTCTTTCTTTCTTGAGACACTAGTTCCCCTACCACCCACACCTGGACAAACGATCTAGAGGGCCTCTCTCTCCCCAGCTTTATAATGAAGGGACCAAACTAAATCACTGTTTCCCCAAGAATGATCCAGGAAACACTAATTACTGGAGTTATTAGCAGGAGCTTCTTAATTCATGGAACAAATGAGTCTGAGAAACACTACGTAGTAAATTGACTTTGTGGGATTCCTAATGTATGTTAACATAGTAAAGGCTCCAAGAAGTCCAGTAAAGACTCTTGATACATTTTATTTAATATGAGATTTACCAAATTTGTTTGAGCCCCAAACACTTTTTGTAGCATGCTGTTAACATCACAAGAAGCAGTATTCCATAGTACACCAATTTGAGAAGCACTGGATTAAATAATCTCTAAATTTACTTCCAGTGCAAAATTCTGTAACTCCATAGCAAGACATCCTCACTCCACTTTACACTGGTCACTTACTCAACAAGAATTTTTGAAGATATTGAATGCTTAGCCCTGTCAGGTGTTATGGATACAGGGGTGGAAGGGGGGAGACAAGTACCATATGGGCCATTACTATTCAATTCTTTTATGTTTATAAGGCAAAAAGCAAGCTACAAATAAATCATATTTCTTATAAGAGAGTAAAGTGCAAATGTGCCAGATATGTGGTTACTTCTCTTGTTACCTCCATATTTTTAAATAATCTGCTTCTACTGTTATTTCTTCATCTCTTTTTTAGAAAGTATTGACTGCCTATTAGGATAGATGAGAATTTATTTCTCATATACCCTCCAATTTCCTTCTCCCATCTTCCCAATATAATTATAGCTCTTCTTTTTAGTTACTTCAGAATCAATGTTCACATAAGAATAGTAGTGTATTATGATTGTATTTTCTTTTTTTTTAATAGCGCATTAGGTGAAAGTTTACAGAGCAAATTAGTTTCCTATTCAATAGTCTGTACATGAAATGCTCCGTGACATTGGTTTCATTCCCCACAATGTGTCAGCACTCTCCCCATTTTTGCCCTAGGTTCCCTGTTTGCTTTCATCCTGGTTTTCTAGCCCTTTTCTGCCTTCTCATCTTTGCTTTTGGGCAAATGTTGCCCTTTTGATCTCATATAATTGATTGTTCTAAGGAGCAAGTTCCTCTCTGGTATTACTGTCCATTTTATGAGCCTGTCTATGATTTGGCTGAAAGGTGGTCTCTGGGAATGGCTTCAGTTCCAGTTCAGAAGTGTTACATTTTCTTTTATGTACAGATTTTTGGTTTTTTCTGGAGTTAATAATTACCTGCTATTTTTTCTTGTACTATTTGCCTTTATCATATACTCAATATTTTCCAAACTCTCTATCATATGATTTATTCTATTAAGTCCCTCTTTTTTCCCCAAAATTCTCCTTCTTGGAACTCACCTTTTCCCTGCTCTAATTTTTATTGATTTTTTAAAAATGACGTCTTTTTAGTGATTTCCTCCAGTTGGTATACTTCTTATAGAGCCACATTGTGGCCTGTTTCTCAATTTAAACCATGTCATTTAGATAGCTGTAGTGGTATTAGCAAACCATATTTGTAGCTCATGCCTTGTTCTGGGACATGTCTTATGCATATGCTGAGATAATGCTGAAAGCAAATAGTGCTGTTAGGAAAGTACTTTGAGTAGCCAGAATAGAACCATATTAAGGAGGAATTTGGCCTTTTACTTTTGGCTTGACACTTTGTAAAGCTTCATGCAATAATAGTATTTTTAGAACTGGAAATGTCTGTTAGAGTCCATCTAGGCCAACTCTCTTTACAGATGCGTAAATTAAGGGCCAGAGTGGCTAAGTGATTTGCCTAAGGGTCATATACCTTTTTGGAGACAGAGACTCCATATAGCTTCGCTCCCAGTCAACTATTCTTTTCACCATATGATGCTCATTATTCTAGGAGTCCAGCACTTGGCTGTGATAGATGAAAAGAGAAATTAACCATATTAGTCGTATTAAAAATTTGCTTAAAAATATCAGATAAAATGTGTTGTCAGATTTAAATGGCCCAGGCCCTGGTCTCGAGGAATTTATGTTATTTGGGAATATCAAATAAGCTTATATAAAACAGTCTGAAAGCAATTATGGACCAAACTATAAAGAGACGCTTACACAAATAGTTCAGAGGAGGGAGAAAGCATTGTAGAGAGGTAGTATAACATAAAGATTATGAGAATGGGCATTCGTGTCAAACTAACCTAGTTTGAGTCTTATTTTTGCCATTAACTAGGTGTATGGTCTTAGACAAGTTACTTAATCTCTTTGAGCCTCAGTTTTCTTAACTGTAAAATGTAGATAAAAATAGTGTTTTTTCTCATGGAGTTGTTGACTGAATAGGATTAAATAGAATAACAAACCCACATGTCTCATTCCTGACATATTGAAAACAATAAATATTAGCCGTCATCATCATTATTATACTGAGACAGTGAGAAGACCAACTAAAGAATATGTGTAGGGAACAATTTTTTTTTTTGTATTGAAATACTCTGTATTTATACTTAGGTATATTTTTATGTTGTGAGCTATCTTTGTACACAATATTAATAATCAATGTTTGCATAATCCCCTAAAGTTTCC